GTCTCCAGCTCCAGCGCCCCCAACACCACCAGTCCCGGCAGCTCCAGCACCCCTGGTACGAGCACCGCCAGGACTAGCAGCCGCAGAACCTCCAGTACCACCAGCTCCAGCAGTAACTCCAGCACCTCCAGCTCCAGCGTCTCCAGCGCCTCCAGCTCCGGTAGCTCCACTCCAAAGGCGTGCGCGCCGAACAAGCCACTCACGCAGCTGCTTCAAAGACAGTCGCGGAGAAGCACTAGCAGGACCTCCAGACGAAGCAGCACCCCAAGGCTCAGCACCCCCAGACTCCGCACCCTTCGACTCAGCACCCCCCGGCTCAACACCCTCAGGCTCAGCACCCCAAGACCCAGCACCCTCAGACCCCGCACCCCCCGGCTCCGCACCCCCAGACGGAGCACCCCCAGACGCAGCACCTGTAGCAGCACCTGATTGACGGCTACCTTGAAAGGCGTAGTACTAGGGAGAGGGTCTACCTGAGACACACCGGAGGGAGCAGGACCTTGGGGCGCGATGGGGTCTACCGGAGGGGGACTGGGAGCAAGGAAGAGTGGTGGGGGCCGGGGAGGGGCAGAGCTGTAGGGGAAGAGACGGTAAAAGGGAACCGACTCGTCAAACGTGACGTCTTGAGAAGGGAGGACACGGCGCGAGGTGGGGTGGTAAAACTGCCAGCCAGGCGCGTCGGGGACAAAGCCAAGGAAGACGTAGGGGATAGCACGGGCGGAGAGCTTGTCCGCGGACGTATCGCGAACAAAGGCACGAGAACCCCAAACCCGGAACACCGACGCACCGCCAACCTCCCCCGTCCAACGCAGTGTGGGCGAGGTCTCCGGCAAGGAGACACGGGGCCAAAAGTTGAGCTGATGCGCAGCGTACTGGACCGCAAACGGCCACAGAAAATGGGGAGCAGCCGCATGGATCATGGAGGTACGAGTGACCTCCATGACTAAGCCAATGCGGCGCTCAACAATCCCATTTTGCTGAGGGGAGTCCGAAAGCGTGAACGACTGGAGAATGCCCTCCCCACAACAAAAGTCCCGCAAGACGTTGGAGGAGAACTCACCACCTCTGTCAGAGTGCAGACGCAGGACAGGAAGGTCCTGGCCGAACCGCTCGCGGAGCTAGAGACGGACTGTGCGGATCCAAGGGATCAAGACATCAACGACCTCGCCCTTGCTGCGCAAGGGGAAGATCGTGGTGTACCACGTGTAGTCGTCAACTACTAGCAGAAAGTAGCGCTCGCGGCCCTGTCCACTGATGCGGGCTGGGCCCCACACGTCCATGTGGAGAGTCTGCAGGGGAGCAGTCGTCGGGGGAAACGAGGAGGAGTGAGGAGCGGCGTGCTGCCGCCCCTCGACGCAAGGAAGGCAGGGCGGGAGGGGAGGCAGAGACCTGGGTAGACCAGAGACAAGAACACGGGAGTGCATGCCATGAAGGCGTGGCAGGGAGGGGTGACCCAGGCGGTGGTGCCACAGAAGAGTCTGGTGCGACAGGAGGCGACACGAGCAAGAGGCGGCTACCTTACCTGACGCGGACACCTGAGCAGACGCAGCTACCTGTGGAGGCTCGGTAACGAGTGTGTATAGACTCGACCCTGGTTGACGAGTGAACGTGGCCAGGTGACGCCCCATCCGTGTGCACGTGCAGATCGACACACGCTGACCCTTAGGAGTGGTGGTAGTGACCATCGCATCCTGGAGGGCAGCGGTACTCACCACGTTCGTAGTGAACAAGGTGAGGTGAAGACCTGACAGTGAGCCTGACAAAACCGTCGGACACAGGAGGACAGTGGAGGAACGGGCCACGACCGGGTCCCCAGAGGGATCAGCTAGTCTGACCGGGACAGGTGCTGGGAGAGGAGTGAGAGTGGTGCTGTCACGAAAGAAACAAGCAGAAGCGCCTGAGTCAAACGTGAAGGTGTGCAAGGCCTGAGCAGGCGTAGTACCAAGGAGAGTACCAGACTCACTAGCACCTAGAGCAGCAGCAGCTATACCTGGGTCAGGCGGCACACACTGGTAACAATCACCCTCAGCACTAACAGACAAAGCATACATAGCAGAAAGGATAGCATCAAAGTCTAGGTCAAAGATAGTAATCCTAGACCTAAGCAGATCTGCCCACCGAGGGAGCTCGACGTCGTCACCAAACTCAGCACGCGAAGCGTTGTCGAGGCGGGAGAAGCAGCGGTGCTGAGTGTGAAGCTTCCCGCATGTCTGACTAGCACGAACACCCGTGCGAATGACATACGGGCAGCTATCACTACCCCCAGACGTCCCACGCTGAAACAACCACTTACGGAGCTCCTGGGGCGACTGGGTCTCGCTCCGACGCTGCTGCTGCTGCCGCTAGCCACCACCAGGGCCTCCATGCCTAGGTCCAGCCCTACCGCCTCCAGTCCCACCGCCTCCACTGCCGCCACTCCCACCGCTGCCTCCACCGCCGCCACCAGAGCCCCCACTCCCGCCACCAGTCCCACCGACGCCACCACCTCCACTGCCTCCACTACCTCCATTGCTGCCCCCACCACCACTCCCGCTGCCACCTCCACCACCCCCGCTGTCACCTCCACCACCCCTGCCACCCTTGCCCTTGCTGCTGCGGCGCTTCGCACTAGCAGAAGCAACCCCGGCGTCCTCAGCAACAGAGACGTCTGCAGCAGCAGTAGAGGCGTAGGAGGGGGCAAGGGGGGAGGGGGAGCACCCCTCAAAGAAGGGCGGGCGCGGAGTGCCACGAGCAGCACCTACAGCAACTGCACTAGTCTCAGCTGTGAGGAGATGCTGCTCGAGGAGGTCAACAGTGAGGGAGGTGGGGTCAAGGGAGAGAAAGTGGTCCCTGACAGAGCGAAGAGATTCAGGGAGGCGAGTGACTATGAAGTAGAGGGTGATGAACATGGGGGGCTGGTTTGTGGGAAGGAACTCAGCAGAGACGGTAGCGCGGTAGCGAGCGTCGCTAGTGCGCAGGTGGGAAACCAGGTCGGCTACTGTGGCAAAAGTCGACAGCTCGGGAAACAGGTAGGGCAGTAGCAGTCGGCCTAGAGCAGCAGTGGCAGGCGAGGAGTAGCGAGCTACGTCTGCGGCGTTTAGTGCCTGTGCTGTCCTGTGCTGTCCGAAGTGAGCGCATTCAGCTAACGGCAGGTGGTTGCGAATGGCTAAGCGGGCAGCAGCGTCGCGAGTAAGCCACAGTGAGCGAGTCGCACTGTCAGCTGTGGCGGGAGGGGCAGTAGCAGCGCCTGACGCTAGGTCAAACAGCGAAACACTGTCCTTAGAATCGCTTAGTAGATATAGCTGTAGATTATAAAGCCACGTGTCAAACTGAATCGGTCTGCCCTCATGATCAAACGCTAGAACTCGAAGCGAAGCCATCGGGGCACAGTATGTAGGAGCAGCAGTGGCAGTAGTAGCTGTAGCAGCAGTAGCAGTAGCAGTAGTAGTAAGAGTAGCAGCAGGGGCCGAGGGGCCGAGGGGCCTAGGGGACAAGGGGCCGAGGTGCCGGGGGCCTAGGGGCCAGGGGCCGAGGGGCCAGGGGGCCGAGGGGCCAGGGGGCCAACGGACCGAGGGGCCGAGGGCCTAGGGGGGACGGGGCCGCGGGGCCAGGGTCGAAGGGGCCGAGGGGCCTGGGGTCTAGGGGCCGAGGGGCCAAATACGAAGGGGAGGGCTGAGGGGCCGAGGGGCCAAGGGGCCGAGGGGCGTGGGGCCTTGGGGCCAAGGGGCCGAGGGGCCGAGGGGCTGAGGTCGAAGGGGCCTAGGGTCCGAGTAGCCTAGGGGCTGAGGGGCCTAGGGGCCGAGGGGCCAAACACGAAGGGGGGGGGGGGCGAGGGGCCAAGGGGCCGAGGGGCCCAAGGGGGGCCAAGGGGCCAAGGGGCCGAGGGGCCTTGGGGTCGAGGTGCCGGGGGCCTAGGGGCCACGGGACCGAGGGGCCGAGGCTAGGGGCGACGGGTCGCGAGGGGCCACGGCTAGGGACGATGGGGCGACGGGACGACGGGTCGTGAGGGGTCGAGGCTAGGGGCGACGGGGCGCCGGGGCCGCGGCTAGGGGCGACGGGTCGCGAGGGGCCGAGGCTAGGGGCGACGGGGCCGCGGTTAGGGTCGACAGGCCACGAGGGGCCGAGGCGAGGGGCGACGGGGCGACGGGTCGACGGGGGCCGCGGCTAGGTGCAACGGGGCGACAGGTCGTGAAGGGGCCGCTAGGCCGAGGCTAGGGGTTACGAGGCTGCGGCTAGGGGCGACGGGGCGACAGGTCGCGAGGGGCCGCGGCTAGGGGCGACGGAGCCGAGGGGCCGCGGCTAGGGGCGACGGGGCCAAGGGGCCGAGTCTACGGGCGACGAGGCCAAGGGGCCGAGTCTAGGGGCGACGGGGCGACGTGGCCTCGGCTAGGGGCGACGGGGCCGAGGGGCCGAGGCTAGGGGCGACGAGGCCGCGGCTAGGGGCGACGGGGCGACGGGTCGCGAGGGGGCCGCAGCTAGGGGCGACGGGGCTGAGGGGCCGTGGCTAGGGGCGATGGGGCTAAGGGGCCGAGTCTAGGGGCGACGGGGCGACGTGGCCGCGGCTAGGGGCGACGGGCGACGCCAAGGGGCGTCGGGTCTAAGGGCGACGGGCTGGGCTAGGAGCGGCGACGGGTCGGGGCCTAGGGGGGGCCTACGGGTCGCGAGGGTGGCTAACAGGGCAGCAGGTGGTGGGCCCAAAAAACGGTCCTAGAAGAGACCTGCTCTGAAACCATGTCAGAAAGAACGAACGAGAATGAATGAACTAGCAAAGAGTTTGGTACAAGTACTAACCCTAATTGGGTTGTACCCCTTATGGGCTACCCCACTGTAGCCTACACAAATGTAAGCACTAAAATGTTCTGGCAAAGAGCTGCGCAAATGCGGCCTGGTTGAGGTCCATCCGCTGCCTGACCCTCAAGCAGGTGGACACCAACCACGTCAACTTGAAGTATCTGGACTCCATCACGCCGCAGCTACACGAGTTCACGCTCTACCAGCACTGGCACCTCTCCCGTGCCCCCATGTTTGGCACCCACGATATGAAATTCTCCTTCCCCAACGCCCGCCTCCTTCGCTTCCGCTTTGCCAGCAACGAGCTCAAGCTCACCCTCATCATCTCCAAGGCGCTCAAGACTCTGTCGGTGATGGCCAAGTGGCTGGTCCTCTCCTGCAAGAGCACCGCCCCTCTCGCTCTCGACCACCTCTCACTCTACGGCCAGGATCGTCTCGTGATTTCCTCCCTCCGCATCGCATCTGCCCGAGCTGTGTACCTCAACGGCCCTGCAACTGACAAGGGCAGCAACCGCCCCAGGATGTCCTACCAGCTGCCACCTTCCTTCCAGCACGGCTCCCCGTGGCGTTTCCAGATTTTCTTGGACCAAGTGGCTGCGCTCTATAGCGGGAAGCGTGGAGGTGCTTGTAGTGAGGCATGGGATTCCGATTGAGGAGGTGGGTTCGGTGTGGAGGAACCTGCGCAGCCTTGGGATTGTCATGCATGCAAAGGGGGAGCATAACAAGGAGTGGGAGGCGACAGTGGAGAATCACAGGGCGTTCACGGATGATGGGGAGTATGATGATGATATGGATGATGATGGTTTTGGTGGTGATTATGATGAGGACGACGAGGAAGAGGATCATGATTATGATGATGAGGATGGGGATGAGGATGAGGATGAGTATGGTTCTTCTGATGATGATGATGTGTATGGGGGGAGGGGTTATGGTGGGAGAGGGGGAAGAGGCCGCAAGTCTGTGCAGAAGAAGAAGAAAGAGAAGGTCTGTGCCAAGCCGCCATCCATCGGCGCTCCCAACCTGCGGTTCCTCTTCTTCCCCACCCGCAAAATGTGTAATGCGCCCACACTGGCTGCACTGCGGCAGGACTACCCCGCCCTACCACTCTACTGTGTGGTGGACCGCTCCTTCGATTGGCACAGGAAGGGAGTGTGCATCAACAATGGGCCGCTAGAGCATTGGAGGCGGGCCAAGAGTGGGGTGCTGCGGGAGGAGTTTGACGAGGAGAAGAAGCTGAAGAATGTGAGAGAGAAGATGCATAGTGTGAATCGGAAGCTGGTGGAGGGGTACAGTGTTGAGGAAGATGAGGCACATATGTTCAAGTACAAAGGTAGGTTTTAGGGATGCACAAGGTGATCAAGATAAGTGAGACATCTGATGGCTGGTTCGGTGCTGTTTATGACATATCCGATACATGTTTAAGTACAAAGGACGTTTTTTTTCTATGCAGCATAGGGTAATCTAGATGAGTTGCATGCTGGAACAAAAATGGTTGGAGTTAAGTGTTTGTTGTGGCTACTAACTTTGAAAGTTTAGACTGTAATTTCCTGTGAAGAATTAAACAGGAAATGAAGAAAGGATGAAGTGAGGATGATTGCACTAGCAAGCAGTTGAGTACATATAGGAAACCCTAGATTGGGCTGTACTCACTATTGAGTACCCCACTGCAGGCTAGACAAATATAACATTCTGACACACCCCCATAGCCAAAGTGGGGTGTAATCAGCACAACAGGCAAAGCAAAACAAGCTCAGGGTGGATCACAATGTCACCACACATTCTGAGCACAAGTACAAGAAGTAGCAGTTTATAGTTCACAAATGCAAGCAAAGCTAGACGATATCACAGAGGGCAAGTGAGGAGGAGGAGGGACTATGAGAGGAGAGGAGATAGTGGGCGGCAGCTGAAGCTGCTGGCACACGGCGCAACTGGAGCAACTGGCACACGGGCAACTGGAGCAACTGGCACACTGGCAACTGGAGCAACTGGCACACGTGCTACTGGAGTAACTGGCTCCGCGGCTAACTCTGAGCTGCAGGAGCAACGGACCCATGGGCGACTGGAGCAACTGGCTCACGGGCGACTGGCGCAACGGGCTCACGGGCGACTGGCGCAACGGTCTCACGGGCGACTGGAGCTGCGGGCTTCACGGCGGCCACCCCCCTTCAACCTCCCCAAACTATCCCACCCCCCTTTCACACACCCCCTGCTGCACCTCTAGATCCACTCACACTCCACCCCCTAGCACCACTCCGTCCACTCCCACACACTCACCCCCCTCAGCGACAGCTGCAGCAGTGGGAGACGAAGTAGGAGGAGGAGCAGGTGACGCCACACACCCGCCACCCCCCACTCGCCACCCCCAAACCCTAACACAGGGCAGGGCGGGATGGCGGGTAGGGAGGGGGGGGGGGGGGGGGGGGGGGGGGGGGGGGGGGGGGGCGCCGACGCGCGGCCTCCCAGGGCGCCAGAACAGGCGGCAGAAGGGGCGACGCGCGGCCCCCCCCCCAGGTCGCGGCCCCCCAGGGAGCCGCGACGGGCGACGGGAAAAGAGGGGGGGGGCGGTGCACGGGTCCCCGATGCGCCGCGACAGGCGACGGAGCATGGCCGGGGCGGGGCCGGGGCAGGGTCGGGGCAGGGCCGGAGCAGGGCCGGGGCAGGGCCTCGACCGGGCCGCGACAGGGCAGGGGCAGGGCCGCGACAGGGCCGCGGCGGGCGACGGGGCAGGGCCGTGACGGGGGGCCGCGACGGGGGGCCGCAACGGAGGGCCGCGACGGGGGGCCGCGACAGGGCGACGGGGCAGGGCCGAGCAACGGGGGAGGGCCGGGGCGAGGCCGTGACGGGGCCGCGACAGGGCCGCGACGGGGTCGCGAAGGGGCCACGAAGGGGCCACGAAGGGCCGCGACGGGCAGCAGGGCAGAGCGCGAAACGCGCTAAGGGCAGGGCAGAAAAAAAAAGTTTAGCGAAGTGGTGGGCCCGAGGAAGGAACAGTCCCAGGAGGGAACCAGCTCTATACCATGTGAAGAATTAAACAGGAAATGAAGAAAGGATGAAGTGAGGATGATTGCACTAGCAAGCAGTTGAGTACATATAGGAAACCCTAGATTGGGCTGTACTCACTATTGAGTACCCCACTGCAGGCTAGACAAATATAACATTCTGACATTTCCTTAGTGATGCTTCGAGCTGGGTGCATTTGAGCTGGGTAGGTAGCACTTTTGAAATGGACGTTCAACGGAAAATACACAAGTACAACCCTAAACATGCTACACTCCCTACTGTGTACCTTACTATAGCCTAGCATAAATATATTTAGTTTGACACACCCCCATAGGCTAAGTGAGGGACAATAAAACATGCAAGAGAGACAGGTGGTCACAAGACCAGTCAAGCAAGCCAACAAGGCAAAGTAAGGAACTCAGGGCGGTACAATTAGCCAGCCTGCGAGACAAGAAGCCACAAGGACAGTTCAATAGTTCACAAATATATATATATATATATATATATGTATATATACATATAGATAGCAAAACAAGCAGACCAAGTGACAAGCCTAGAACACATGAGGGCCTTTCTGAACAAGGCCAAGCTACGTACCGAAGTCTGCAGTATTGGGAAATGAGGCTACAAAGGACAGGCGTACATGGCCACGTCGCTTCAGCTCTCGCAGCTGGAAGTACCGCGAATCGATGTGCTTTAATATGCCCTCTAGTCAAGGCTCTCGACACAGGAGGATCACAACCTTATTGTTAGCGAACAAGGTCGGTGTAGAACTGGGCCCCTAACCTAGGTCAATGAGCAAGTAGGTCAACTAGCGAAGCTCCTAAGTAGCCATGGCACTGGCGCAAATCTCGCCCTCAACATTGGACGAAGCTACAGATGTCGACCGAGTAGACCTCTATGGTACAGCTCGGAAGGCCAAGCTGAAGAAGTACCCTTGAGTATACCTGAAGGTCTCCGAGTCGCCAGAGTAGGATGAATTGAAGTGCCCGGTCAGTACTACTGGCTCTCTCCCTCCAAGCACCAGCCCCATGCCTGATATACTTTCCAGGTACTTCGCTACCCTCACAGCACAAGCCCAGTGAACATGACGGAGTCTCCCAATCGAAACAAAGCGAGCCAGGACACTGAGAGGACACGAGAGGTCTGGATGAGTACAGGTCATTGTCAAACTTATATATAGCTTACATTGTGTAGGCTGTAGTGGGGTAGCCCATAAGGGGTACAACCCAATTAGGGTTATTACTTGTACCCAACTTCTGCTCAATGCATTCATTCTCGTTCATTATTCTGACATGGTTTCAGAGCAAGTCCTCCGCTAGGACCGTCTTTTCTTCCTGGGCCCACCACAGCGCTACCCCGCTAGAAGCCCTCTGCAGCCTTCGTGCTGCCCCTTCTTCCGGTCGCGACCCGTAGGCCCCTAGGCCCCGGCCCGACGCCACCCCTAGCCCGGCCCGTTGCCCCTAGGCCCGTTGCCCCTTGGCGTCGCCCGTCGCCCCTAGCACGGCCCTCCGTCGCTCGTCACCCCTAGCACGCCCCCCCCGTCATCCGTCGCCCGTCGTGACCCCCATCGCCCGTCGCCCCTAGCACGCCCCCCCCGTTGCCCGTCGCCCCTAGCACGGCCCCCCGTTGCCCATCGCGACCCCCGTCGCCCGTCGCGACCTGTCGCCCGTTGCGACCCGTCGCCCTGACCCGTCGCCCTAGACCCGTCGCCCTAGGCCCGTCGCCCGTCGCGACCCGTCGCCCGTTGCGACCTGTCGCCCTGACCCGTCGCCCTGACCCGTCGCCCTGACCCGTCGCCCTAGGCCCGTCGCCCGTCGCGACCCGTCGCCCCTAGCCTAGGCCCCGGCCCCTCGCGACCCGTCGCCCCTAGCCTAGGCCCAGGCCCCACGGCCCATCGCTCGTCGCCCCTAGCCTAGGCCCCTCGGCCCCACGGCCCCTCGCAACCCGTCGCCCCTAGCCTAGGCCCCGCGCCCCCCCGTCGCCCACGACCCGTCGCCTCGCGGCCCCCCGTTGCCCACGACCCGTCGCCCACGACCCGTCGCCCCGCGGCCCCTCTCGTCACCCTAGGCCCCCGGCCCCTCGGCCCCCGGCCCCTTTGCTCCTGGCCCCGCGGCCCCGTCGCCCTAGGCCCACGGCCCCTCGGCCCCCTCTAACTTGGCCCAGCGGCCAGAAGCCCCTAGGCCCCCCGGCCCCTACTCTCCTGGCCCCACGGCCCCGTCGCCCTAGGCCCACGGCCCCTCGGCCCCCCTCTAACTTGGCCCCGCGGCCCGAAGCCCCTAGGCCCCCGGCCCCTCGGCCCCTACTCTCCTGGCCCCGCGGCTCGACGCCCCTAGGCCCCAGGCCCCTCGGCCTCTTCTCTTCTGGCCCCGCGGCCCATTGCCACTAGGCCCCCGGCCCCTCGGCCCCCTGCCCCTTTGTTCCTGGCCCCGAGGCCCCGTCGCCCTAGGCCCCCGGCCCCTCGGCCCCTTCTTACTTGGCCCCGCGGCCCGACGCCCCTAGGCCGCCGGGCCCATGACCCCTTCTCTCCTGGCCCCGCGGCCCAACGCCCCTAGGCCCCCGGCCCCTCGGCCACTTCTCTCATGGCCCTGCGGCCCGACGCCCCTAGGCCCCTGGCCCCTCGGCCCCTTCTCTCTTGGCCCCGCGGCCCGACGCCCCTAGGCATCCGGCCCCTCGGCCCCTCTGCTGCTACTACTACTGCTACTGCTGCTGCTACTGCTGCTCCTACTGCTGCTACTGCTACTGCTGCTACTGCTGCTCCTGCGTGCTGCGCCACTGTGGCTTCGCTTTGAGATCTCGCGTTCGATCATGAGGGCAGACCAGTTCAGTTTTACACGTGGCTCGATGACCTGCAGCTGTACCTACTGAGCGATTCTAAGGACAGTGTGTCATTGTTTGACCTTGCGTCAGGTGCCGCTACTGCCCCTCCCGCCACAGCTGACAGTGCGACTCGCTCACAGTGGCTTACTCGCGACGCTGCTGCCCGCTTAGCCATTCACAACCACCTGCCGTTAGCGGAATGCGCTCACTTCGGACAACACAGGACAGCACAGGCCCTGTACGACGCTGTAGTCACTCGCTACTCCTCGACTGCCACTGCTGCGCTAGGCCGACTACTACTGCCCTACCTGTTCCCCGAGCTGTCAGCTTTTGCCACAGTAGAGGACCTTGTTTCCCACCTGCGCACTAGCGACGCTCGCTACCACGCTACCGTCCCTGCTAAGTTCCTTGACAGGAACCAACCCCCAATGTTCATCACCCTCTACTTCATAGTCATTCGCCTCCCTGACTCTCTTCGCTCCGTCAGGGACCACTTTCTCTCCCTTGACCCCACCTCCCTC